AGACATTGTGGGGAAATGTTCGAAAGCACAGGCCAAGGGCAGGAAGGCAGCAGAACTCCAAGCAGTGTCAACAGTAGGAAGCATTGATGTGAAGGGACTGAGGCTGGGAGAAAATCCACAGACCTGGAGCCGGTGAGCTAAAAGTTCATGGTGTAGGCAAACGTGGAAGGAAGGGCACCCTGCCTGCAGACTATCCCCAAACACACACACAGACACACACAAACACACACAGCCCACTGCAAAACAGCCTCTCCCCCCTGCCATGACCTCCCAGGGTGGTTCACCTGGCCGAGCCCCAGAACCGCCACCCCCCCCAACCCCTGAATCAGTGTGGGCTTGTGTCAGGCAGCCCTCTGCTGCCTCCGAAGGCCCCACCTACCTGGCAGAGCGGGTAGGACCTGGGGCCTGGCAGCGGCCCAGATGGGGCCATCCTGGGCAACTCTCAGACAGGCACCCTGGCTAGGAACTGCCTGCAACCTCCACCGGCCGCAGGCAGCCCTCTTCGGGAAGCACGCCCCATTCAAGCCAAACATCAGCTGTCCAAAGCAGTATTGAACGGCTCATCAGGAACCCACAGATAATCCCCGAATTTCACCCAGAGTTGCAGCCAGCCACCGCCAGTGGATACTGGAATTGAGCACCAAAAGCGTAAACTGACAGCTTTGAGCCTCCTCTCTTGCCCCTTCCCCACCCCCACCCCGAGCCCCAGGACCAAGGGAGAAATCCTGGGTGATTTATTTCCCCAGGGAACTAGGAATTACACCTCCACTCCCCCATCCTCCCGAGTGCTTCAGAGGAGCTGGGTAACCGCTCCCCACCTCAGAAGCCCCCAGCATCCCCACCCTCTCACTCCTGCCAAAGTCAGAGTGGTCCCCTCTGCCCCATGCCTCTCAAGTCAGCAGGATCAGCCACTCAGCAAATATTCTCCAGGAGTAATTGGATGTGATGGAACGAGGGCTTTTCAGCTTCTGAGTGGAAGTCTCTGGATGTCATTTAGTGGCACAAAAAAGAAGAGGCCCGGGCCTCCCGCCTACCACCGCAAGGACATCATTAATCTCAGCGGAAAGGCATCACTGCTTCTATCACTGCAGCCAGCCCGGCGAAGAGCCAGACAAATTACAGACCTGAGCCTGGCGCTCGGTGGGGCGGTTATTAGGCTGGCGTTCAATTTTTGTTTCTTCTTCAGGGCCACTGTCCCCTCGGGAGAGAGTCAGGGGTAGGGGACAGGGAAGAGGGTGGCCACCTTGGTGAGACACAGCTCACCCGCCTTGGGAGACAGGGCGACTCAGCGCCCATAGAGGCCCCAGCAGCTCAACTCCCAAAACAGCTCAGAGGAGCCCAGGCCCAAGTCTCAGGACCCCGCCCCCTTGTTCTCCAGCCACCTGAATGGAGGCCTGCCTCCCAGCAGGGGCTTCCCAGCCCCCACTTGCCAGGCTGAGCAGGAACCCACTGAGGACCAAGTGGCAAGCCAGGTGGGAAATATCCCTTGGCTACAGTGAGGACACCCGGGGAACACTGTCCTGTGCTGTTGGGAAGCCTTCAGAGTGGGCTTGCTAAAGAGACCAGGGGTGAGGCTAGGGATGGGACCCCATCCACCAGCAGCTGCAAAGTTGTGCTGCTGGCCAAGGTCACCTTGAGAAGGCCTAGCTTGTTACTAGTCCAGGGTTCATGGTCTCGTATTATAAACCCCTTGGGGACAGGAGCAGGGCCTCCATCCAGTGCACCCCATGCTTGACAGACACAAGGCAGCCGCTGTCAGTTGGGCTGTCAGTTTCCCCTCGGCCCAGAGCTTGCACATTTTTAGCAGAGGAGCCGCCTATCCCACGCCCACAAGTCCTCCAAGGGGAGGAGGGGCTGGGCTAGGAGAATGTGTCTCAGTCCCCCACAGACCGGGAAGCTGGGAGCAGAGAGTGACTGCAGGACCTGCCCCAGGGCGATTCCCACACATTCAGCCATCGCTGCCCATGGGACTCCAATGCAGAGGATGAGTACTGAAAGCTTGGAGCCCCTCTCCCACGTGTTGAAGACACTGTCTAGGAGTGACTAGGCACACAGTGGGGGTTCAGACCCCTCCCCACGGCTTTAGGCAAGCTTCCCCAGCACTCACTCCCCTTGGCCCATCTGGAACATCTAACAGCCTTCATCGCCAACATCTTCCCTATCAGCACCAACCAGTGGGTAAGAGATCGGCCTCTAGCTTTGCGGAATGGGAATGTTCCCTAGGGTTGCGCAGGGAACAATGGGCACAGCACATGCAGCAGCCCCGCCCTGAGGTGAGCCGGCCTGTGTTCCAGCCACTGGGTGGCTCAGGAAACAGGCATCAGACACTTTCCTCCCCTCTCCCCCTTGCCACGGAGCCCTTTGCAGTGCACTCACCACCCCTGCCCTGGACCCAGGAAGAGGCCATCCTGGGTGGGCCCAAGGTACAAGGGGAGTGGCCAGCAGCACCACCCTCTTCCTGGCTGGCGGCTGCCTCTCTGCAGCTCCAGGACGGAGCAGTGCCATACAGGATGGGACTTTCCTCCAAATTGTGACCACAATGCCACAGCCTCCAAGCTCCCCATCTCTCCACACACACACACCCCTGAGGGGCTGACTCACCCCTCTTCCTTCTAGAACTTGCAAAGGGTCAGTTCCTCTTGCCCTTTGTGGCAGGAAACGGGGGTGTGAGGAGTCACGGCCAAGCCAGGGGAGGAGGCAGCGGGAGGCTAGCAGCCAGCGGCCGGTACCCGCTCTCCTGAGGAACACAGGGGCCAGTTTGAGGAGCTGCGCAAGAACCACAGCATTGTCAGACATGTGACTGGGAAGGAGCTGTGAGGCTCCAAGGGCACTCCAGGCTCCATCAAAGGAAGTCCTCTGAGCCAGGGGAGGGCAAAGTCTGCAGGAGGGGAGCAAGGTCTCCCTCGGGGTGCAGGGGATTTCTTTCCACCAACTTGCCCTGATCTCGTGATGCGAGTTTCAATTCCCTCGTGGCCACCAAGGTTTCTTCCTGCCCTGCTCGGTGGGGAAGGCCCCCTTGTCCCCATGCCTGCCACACTCCAGTTCACCCATGAGCCCTTTTCCTGGCTTGCATATGCATATACATGCATGCACATACACACATACGCACCTGCACACACTTTCCCAGGCTCCCTGGGTGTGATGTCTACCAGGCCAGTGCCTCCCTGCCTCCTCTCCTGGCAGAAGACCTCACATCCCTCAGTCGCACACCTGTCACCCAGCAGCAGCCTACCCCGAAGAGAGACTCCCAGGGCCCCGCACCTCTCCTGAATCTAAGCAGTCACCGGATTGGACCTGAGGGAACCTGAAGAGGCCCTTTCCTCCATCACTGCCCCTAAGAAGCCTCCTCACTGGAACCCCATCTTGTACCCCATCCTCCCATCTGTGCACCGGGGATAAAAATAGTCTCCCCTTATGAGGATTAAGGGTATGAATATGCATGGAGTTCCTGGCACATAGGAAGCACTATATAGATGTGTTATTACTATTATTATTACTTGTATTATCATTATTATTGGCTTGTTACTTTGGATTAAACGTTTTTGTTTTCTTTGAAATGCAAACAGCCCCTTGGGGGAGTGGTGGGGGGAGGATGATAAGTGGAGTAACCACACATCAAGGGACTTGCTTTCTTCCTTGTTAAAAAAGGGTAGTGAGTGAGGGTGCCTGGGTGGCTCAGTCGGCTAAGTCCAACTCTTGACTTTAGCTCAGGTCATGATCTCATGGTTTGTAAGTCTGAGCCCTGCGTCCGGTTCTGTGCTGACAGTACAGAGCCTGCTTGGGATTCTCTCTCTCTCTGCCCCTCCCTTGCTCTTTGCACTCTCTCTCAAATTAAATAAATAAACTTAAAAAAAGGGAGGGGGTAGTGGGTCCAGGCAGAGGACCACAGACAGGTAAACGGGCAGCTCTGAGAGGAATTCTAGGCTGCCACCCTCACCCCTGTGCATTGAAGATTACTCTTCTCCACCTGTCCACTGCCTAGCTCTGCTCCAGGCAAGGTCTTCCTTGAGCACTCCCTCCACCCAGGGAAGGGTGGTAGATTTACCGCCCCCCCCCACCACGAGAAAAGAAAAAAATATATAGGATGCCCAGTTAGATATGAATTTTAGATAAACAAGGAATGAGTTTTTTAGTATGTTCCATGCAGTACGTGGGACACAGTTATAAATTATGTGTTGTTTATCTCAAATTCAAGTTAAAGTGGGCATCCTGTATTGTCGCTGGCAATCATGCACAGAGGGTGCCTGAGGCCCAGGGTTTGGGAAACAGAGCGTGGGAATATGCTTGTGACCACTTTCCGCAGCTTCTCCCCAGTGCCCGCGGCTGCGCCCTCCTTGCCCTGCTGCTAGGCCTGTCCACACTTGCCCCGGAAGAGGCCCTCCCCCCACACCCCTGTGCTTTCTCCCCTGAAGGAACACCTGGGCACCAGCTGGGGACTTCTCACCCATACTCCTCTCCCGCAGGATCCAGGTGCTGGGGGTCGGGGGAAGAGCCTTAGCCATGTGCCCTGCCCCGCCCCCCAACCTCAGCGACAGCCAGCGCTCTGGGGAGGAGACTGAAAGAATCACACAGACACTGGGGCCGATCTCATTCCCAGTAGCTGGGGTGACCAGGTGTGAAGATAAGAAGCCTTAAGGCTTCAGTCTTGGGGTGAGGAGAGCCCATTGAAAAAGAGGGGTGGGAGAGTAAGGGGGTGGCCCACCCTGGGGGGCATCTTTCTGCACGTGAGTGAGAAGGCAGAGTTATGCCAAGTAAAGGACCCTGGGGAAGGACTCCAGACTCAGTCCTCATTGTTCCTGGGGAGCAGTAGGCTCTTCCCAGGCACTCTGCTAACATCCAGCGAGGAGCCAGAAGGCACCCGGGCACTTTGCCCCCCACAGCCCAATGGCCAAGGTTGCTGAGGTCCCTACTTCCCCAGAGCTGGCCTCCCTGTCAGGCCCTGCAGCTCCCAGTCCATGGTTCTCTCTCACTGCCTTCCTATGGTCTGTCTGTTCTTCCAGGCAATTGGAAAATGGACAAATTCCTGAACCGCTTCCACCTGAGCGAACCCGAAGCAAGCACCCAATTCATGACTGAAAATTACCAGGACTCCCCAAATTACCAGCCTCCCGCAGGAGGAAGCAGTGAGCCCACGGACAAACCCAAACAGAGTTAGCTGCCGGCCAGACATCGGGCTTCGTGTTGCAGGTGTGTGTGTCCACAGTGCCACCAGCGAAGGTCTGGGCATGGACCCCCTCTAAGCAGGGAACTCCTTCTCTCCCAAATTAAGAAAAAAAAGAAAAAATCACCCAGTACTTACTGGCAGGAGTTGTTGTTTCTTAACCTGTTCTCTTTCAAAAACTAAGGAGAAATCAGTCGATGTCCAGCACTGGGAACCCGGGGCTTTCCTGTAAGTGCAAGTGTGTGGGGTACAGGTGGTGCTGGGATATAGACGGATAGGAAGTGGGGGTCCCTAGGCCTCCCCTGGCACTGAGGCACTATGTGACCTGGGGCAAATCACATATCTTTTCTAATCTGCTTCCTCGTTGTGAAATCGGGGTAGGAAGAAGAGTTGGGGCAGTTGGTTTATCACCATGGTCCCTTCAGCATCATTCATTCAACAAATATTGTCGGTGCCTGGTATGTGCCTGACCTTCCACTAGATGCTGGGAATATGTATGTGAACAGGGCAGGCAAAACCTAAGGCTTGCTTCGTGGAGCTTACCGACCAGGATAGGAGGGAAAGGCTCCTCAGGTGAGCACAAGGAAATTACAACAAACGTGGCAAGGGCTATGAGGACAGGAGGGGACCTGCTTTGTGGTGGGGGGGTGGGGGGCGCAGAGTAGAGGCTCAGGCGAGGCCGATCAGAGGAAGTAGCTTTTAACTTCAGGGCTGAAAAGTGTACTAGGGGTAACTGTGAATGGGGATGGGCGTTGGAGACCGTGCCAACAAGGGAGAGAACACTACCTCCGAGCTCCCGCGGCTGGCAGGGGCATGCGTGGCATCTTCCAGGCCAATAGTGTGGCCACCTAGACAGATGGGCAAAGACCAGAACATGCCACGCCTCGTGCTAAAGTTCTGGAGTGTGCCCTGAATGGGAAACTACTGAATAATAAGTAGATTGGAGGGGAAGAACGAGTACAATCTGATTTGTGCTTTTAGAAAACTATGAAGAAACTCCCTGGTGTCTTTAAGGAAAGGGTTTTCCTTTCCTAACTCCCCTGGATGTCCTCTGAAGGTCCCATGGCTTTCCCACGCAAGGTCCCCTTGGAGGTGTCTCTTTCATTACAGTCTTATTCCCAGGCTAAACTCGAGTTCCTTGACTCCCTCACCCCCTGCTCCAGTCCCCTTACCACCATGCCCCCGTACTCAGTTTCCCTCCAAGAGTTAATATCCCCCATGTATCCTTGGCCAGAATACAGCAATGTTGGTGACTCGTGTGTGCAAAGTGCCTTGAGATGCCCAGATGAAAGAGGCAGGCTGCAGCTGGGCACAGGGTTATTGTCTTCTTCAAGCCATGCCCCACGTTAGCTGTGAAGGCAGAAGGGCCCTGGCCAGCCACTCAGCCCAACTGAGCATATCTTAACTAGTTGGAAGATTTTAATGGTGGGGCTCTGAAGGATGAGATGAGGTGGGAGACTGAGTTTGTGAGTCCGTCTAGGTGATGGACACTAAAGTCGTGTTCTGTCGGAGGGCCCTCTGATGCCAGCCCAGGCTGTAGGAACTCCCCTCTGTCGTCCATCCCGGCGGGCAAACTTGTCAGCAGCGCTAAAAGGAGACGCAAAGGAAAGTGTCCATTTGCAGTGTCACGGCAGGCCGCCCGGGAAGGGACGTTCTGGGTGTGTGCGTGAACCTCACACTCCCAGGCCCTTCTCCCTGCAGCCCCCACCCCACCAGGCCCGGAGTGTAATTGGCAGCTCCGGTTGGTGCCCAAGGCTGGGATAAATAGCAGGTCAGCTTGCTAGAGCAGCCCCAAATTGAGACACACCCTCCCCTCTTCTGCTTTTAATTCCTTGTGGCTAGCATGTTTATTTTGGGTGAGAAAAAAAAATCGGATGTTTATCCTTCGAGGAAATTATCGGCTTGCTTTCCTTCCTCCCCCCCCCCCTTTTCTCCTGGTGTTTTGGGCTTTGAGTTCCACTGCAGGAAAGACCCCCACCCTCCTGGCCCCAAAACGTGAAAAAAGAACAAAGCTGGCCCAGGCTCTAGGCTGAAGCCAGCCCTGCCAGACAGCCCCTGCAAGCCACGGAGAAAGAGGTACAGTGCCAGGAAAGGGAAACCGACCCTTGACTCCGTTCTCTGCCTGCACAAGACTTTAGGCCTCTTCCCCCTTTTCTTTTCACTGCCTCCTCCAGGAAGAAACAAAATGAGCATGTAGATTGCTTCGAGATCTCTAGTGAAGCAGCTAAGAAAGATGTAAGGGAGCATTAGTGGGCCCTTTGCAAGGATAGGAGGGCCGGCATTATTATTATCATCATGGTCATCAGATAGCATTTGTTGAGCCCTTTCTGCCTGCCAGGCCCTGTGCCAGATGCCTAACAAGTGGCATCTCATTTAATGCATTCCTGCCCTGCTTCCCGGCCTTCATGCAGATTCTCTCCTTCCGTTGCCACGACAACCTAATAATGTAGGTGTTGCTATTCTTATTTTATAGATGAGGAAACTGACATTCTGGTAAGTTAAGGAACATACTCCCTGTTCCCTAACTAGTAATTGTGGCCTCTGGTGTTAACTTGAGCCTTCTCACGCTAAGTACTCAGAGATACATGGTACTCTCATTTTACTCTTTGCACTACATAAAATAAAGGCCAGGCCTTCCATTTTTTCAGAAGCAAGTTGGGGCAGAAGGAAGGCTGGAAGTTCCAGAAGAATTTAAAGGGAGTCTCACCCAGCATCTTCCCTACCCTCAGCTTCAGCTATTCTAGACCAAGTGTGGCTTGTGAGGAGGGCCAGCTCCTAGACACTCATGGCAACAGCCTGGTCTGGCCCCCCACCCCGCCTCCCGAGGCAGCTACCCCAACAGTTTACCACCCTCAATCCATTGAATCACCCCTCTCCCCAAGAACCTCACTGTGTGAAAACTGCTCTCAGGGAAGGGAGAGAGGTGGAAAAGGAGGGAAAGCCCTGTGGGAAGACTTCCTGGTGATGGTGATGACAATGATGCTGATGGTGGTGGTGGTGGTGGCGGCGGGTGCAGTTTACAGCTGAGCAACCATGGGAGAGAGAGAAAGCCTGGTAGATGCATTAAGTAGTGTAGTTCAGAAACTTTTCTTACTTAGCAGACCTGAAGTCCCATAGAATCTCTAGCATCCATAGCCCTGTGACCTTGGGCAACTGACTCAACTGTTCTGGACCTAAAACAAACAAAACAAAAAACAATAAACAGTATAATGAAAAAACCATGGAACTAAGTGCCTTCCCAAAAGATCTGTTGTAACAGTTAAATGAGATAGCAGACAAGGCACCCAGGCGCCGGGCTTGGCATGCAGGCTGTTGAGTAAGTGCCTGTTTTCCTCTCCTTCCCTGCCTCCAGTCCCCTGCTCTGCTCCCCACCTGGTCTGGAGCAAGCAGTGTCGCTGCAGGGAGTGGGAAAGAGCTGCCCTCCCCAGATGAGAGTCCTTCCCAAGAGCCCCATCAGAGTGTCAGCGGCCCCGGGGAAAGGGCTGGCTGCCAACGGATCCTCAAGCCCCAGCCCGGCATCCCCCTCCCAAGCTCAGCAAAACATTGGGAGGCTCAGATCAGGGAAGACAGCCCAGTTCCTTAGCAACTAACAAGCATTTCTCTGTAAAGACAAAGACCCTTCCCTCAGAATGCTCCTTCCCTCCCGCCTCTCCAGGTGTCTGGTGCACTTTGCAGGAATGGGACTAGGGGCTGCCCGCCACACCCCCCAGGTCTAGGGGCCTTTTGCCCCACCCTCCCAGCCATCCTGATATTACCTGTAATTACCCCACAGCACCTTTCATCCTGGTGCTAATTAACTTTCCCATTTACCCCCTGGAGCTGCTTGGGAGACACGTGAGGCATGCACGCGTGCGTGCACACACACAAACATACCCGCACGTACACAGATACACAAATGCCCATATTCCCCCTTCAGAGACCCTTGCTCCGTTTTCAAGATTAGGAAACTAAGGTTAGAGAGAGGAGCCAACTCCTTGAGGGTTCCCATTTGCCTTCCAAGTACTCAGAAGGAGAAACAGGAGCTGAATAGGCTGGCTCAGGGAGAGGGGAGGACAGGGTCCCCCTGAGCATCCTGGTGGAAAGGGGGCCAGGAAGGAGAACAGCCTTTGGAAAAGACTTGAAGAAAACTGAGCCAGGACAGAGGTCTTGGGTCAGGGCCACCTTGGTGCCACCCAAGGCAAGCTGTCCTGCTTAACACAAAGAGGATATTTCAAAGGGAAAAAAGGAAATATTTTGATAAAAAAGGAAAGGAAGAGAAAGAGGCAGAAAGAGAAGGAAATAGAAAAGAAAGGCATGGCCATCTGGTCTGATGTAGCTGAAGAACTGCTAGCCAGGAGTAGGGACCCGATTTTAGTCTGCTGTGTGAGCCTGGACAAGTCAGCTGCCCTCTCTGGGCCTCACTTTTCTCATCTACAAAATGGCTTGGGATGGGTGTTCCCTGAGGTCCCCTCTAGCTGAAAATTCTGCAACTCTATGTGGTTTTTTTGGGGAATGGTAGAAAAAGCCACTACTACTTGTCCCTTTGGCCAGGTAGGAGTGGAGGTAGGTGAGAGGAAGCAACCAGAACCGGGTAGAACTTTGGGATTGAGAAGAAAAAGGAGCCAAATGCATTTGGCTGTAGAAGTCCCTACCAGGAGGGCCAAACTAAAAAGAGGTCTTAGTCTAGGGAGCTAAAGACCTTGGGATTTCAGGAGAACTTGCTTCCAGAAGCAACAACCAGCAACGGGACCCAGCCTCCCCAGATCCAGGCAGGAGGAAGCCCATTAAGGGAGCCGAGCCGAGGGAAGGCGGAGGAACACATGGCCCTGTGTCTGCATCCAGCGACCGTGGAGCCTCCTGACATGCTCCGAATGAGGGCAGGACACAGAAGCACTTCCTTGATTCCTCAGGAGCCTGAGTCTGCCCCACTGGCATAAGTCACCTGGGCAAGGAGCCGAGGGTCTAAAGGAAAGAGGCTGGACTTGCCAGAAAGGCAGGCACAGTGAGTGAGGTATGGAGTGCCCACTTCCGATCCCATTTTCTGAAGAAAACGGACAGTGGGCTTCCTTCAGGGCCTGGACAGAAGGGCAAGTATGAGCAGCACCTTAGAGGAGTCCAGACACCCTCT